GATAGCAAATCTGCTATTCAGATCGCTTCTAATCCTGTTTTCCATGAGCGCACAAAGCACATCGATATTGACTGTCATTTCATTCGCGAACGAATACAAACTAGACTGATATCTCTTCATCATCTCTGCACTTCAGAGCAACAGGCTGACATTCTCACCAAAGGCTTAGTTTTCCGTCAACATTCTTATCTTCTTTCCAAGCTAGGAATGAAAAATATTTTCATAGCTCCTAGCTTGAGAGGGGGTGTTGAGGAATTGACAAGTTGTATTGCAGTGCATTGAAGGAATTATTACAAAATTGTTATTAGTTAGTTATATAACAGATTAGTTAGTTTTTTTGTTAGTTAGTTAAGTTGGTTAGTAAATTGATTAGTTAGTTAATTACCATTAAGTAGTTAGTATAAAATAGTCATTTTACTTTCTTTGTAAGTAATCAAGCATATGAATGTTAAAGCAAGTCACGTTTTCTCTCTGATTCCTCTCATTCTTCTTCTTCTTTCTCTTCCTCTTCTTCTTCTCAACACAATCTTAGTTACTTCATTGCACACTTTCATGGTGGATGCTTGATTCTAACAAAAAGTGAACAATAAAATTAGAAAAAACATAGAGTTGCAAACATATCCCTTCCTTGCTGCATCACGTACAACTTTATACAAGGTCTCTTATCTTACTTTTTTGTTTTTAGTTTTCCTAACTCTTGATTCTTTAATAACACAATCATAAAAATATGAGGCTATAATGAGCAACCATTGAGAACCTTGTGTTTAGAAATATCCTATATGATAGAACAGTTCACCAGTAAAAACCAGTGTTTTTCTTCATAAACTTACAATGCCACAATCGTATTGAAACTCAGGGTTTGACTTCATTTCATGAGTTTTCTCCTGAAATGGGGTAGAGTATCAGAAGAAACTTCGAAGTTTATAAAAAAACAAGGCCTGCCAGGCTCACAGGGAGCTAATACCGTATATCTAAATTTCATTTTAAAATAAAAGGAAATAAATATACAGAGACAAGATTGTAAGAACTACTTACAGCTTTTTCATATCCTTCTAATGATCGTAGAGTACTATCGTGATTCCATCCTCCATCCAGAATAAAGGAAGAGAAATATGCACTTCCTAAGATATCTACAACCAGATGAAAAAGCTCAGTGAAGTACTTGAAAATTGGATTTATCATAATGTTTGTTACTGCAGATACTAGAACATTTTCATAAGTATAGGATACACTTAATAAAATTCTACTTACTGCGTATATGCTATGTCATGGTTCCATGTACCAAAATGTGTAATTTTTGCACCTAATCTGTCTTTAACGTAATCATATGCTACTTCTAACTATACACAATTAGGGACGGGTGAATTCAATTATTGACAAACACTAAGTAAAACATTTTGGCGAATTGGCAAAGCTGAGAGTGACTAACTAGATTCAGTTCTCAAGTAAACAAGATCCATCCATGTCATCCAGAGCGAGTGCCCTTTGGGCATATTTGATGCATTCACCAATATGATGTGGTGGATTATCAGCAACGGTTAAATGGATATACAATCAGATGAACAGATCAACAACAACCACTAAAACTAAAAAGTGAGAACACTTGAGATTCTCGTTGGAGAAAAGTAAATTACGAAAAAGTAAAAGAAGACAAAAGCATCGCACCATATGGACTATATTCACCCCGTGCATACAGCAATTCTAGGTCTGCAAGTTGCCGTAAAGTCATGCTGTCTTCTTTCTAAATCAGATAAAAAATGAAGAATCTATGAAATAAAGGTAACTTTTAAAGTTTTGAGAAGGGAAAATTTAAGAACTGAAGAAGCATCGAGATTACCACTGTCAGGACAAACTGAAAGTAGAATTTAGCTCTAGGGTAATCTCTTTTCTAGGCAAAGCAGATGCCAAGGGAAACCCAAGCGTCCAGCAGATATGGTGCCAAATTAGTCTGGAAGATAAAATTAACAGTAAGAAGTAAACCAAATGCAAGTTCAAACCATGTAATTTTGCTTCCACTCACAGCATTCACTAGAAGATGCTCTTCCTCCTCCTTGTAACAACCAGGAATTGGATTATACTACCTTCCTTTTGTAAGCTCAAACACTGCACTTTCATATTCTGATTGCCTGTTTTCTACACGAACTAAACTCATTCTCATGATTACTTGAGAAATTGAATTGAATGCGTTTTTTTTCTGGATAATCCATAAAAGAAATTTACCTTGAGGGATTGAATTGAGGGCGTGGATACACATATCGATTTGGTACTCCATATCAGCGATTTTCTCTTCTAAAGTTGGCCGGAAATGCATGTAGTAATAATCATAGAGCCACTCCACCATTTCATCGGCTTTTGCAATCCAATCATCGTATTTCTCATCAATGGAGGCTTCTCCTTTCTCCATAACAACTTCTTTTTGATCAGTGGAGGCTTCTCTCTTGTCCGTAACAACTTCTTTCTCATCAATGGAGGCTTCTCCTTTCTCCATAACAACTTCTTTCCCATCAGTTGGAGTGCTCATCTTCAACATTGAAGCTCACTGCAACTTTTGGTGGGAAATTCTGTTTTTTCAAGTATCACGTTTTCTTCATCTACTAATTTAACAAATTGCCCTGCCACCCCTAATAGTTTTTCTAATATCTTTTTCACCCTTAATGTCTTAAGTTTTAACCTTAGAGTCTCATATTTACTAGTATTTGAAGAAATCTCCTAGTCCCACTTTTATTTTTTATTTATAGAAGATACGAATATTATAATAATCTATTGTACAAAGAGTTATATATGAATTGCATCATCAATGATTTAATTTTGCCTTTCACGTTGATGAATGTATGATAATTTGGATATTTTTCTATCTTTTACATTTTGTGAGACATCTAACTTTCACTTCTCTACTCACATGTTGGTTGACATGTATCCTCCACACGCTAAAAAATTGCAAGCTATAATAATCTAGTGTAGGATAATTTTAACTTTTTTCATTTTAAGAAAAAATCAAGATACTAACGGCTTCATTAGTTAAATTATAAAAATACCCTTCAAATCATATCATACCAATTTTGAAATTACCTTTTAAAGAAAAAAAAACAGTAAATGCGAAGGTTATGGCAGTAAACAATTTACAAAATTTTGACTAAACTCTATGAATGAATATTCAAAGTAGGGTCTTATACTCTTATTTAATGAAATTTTCTATTAAATGGGTACTAATTCTATTCATGCTTATAATAAATAATATAAATAGAATAAGATGTTAATGGAAATTTACGACCTTCCAAATGCTATTATATTTCTCTTCTAGTTAAATTTGATGCTAATATATAATTTTGCAAGATGTAAAACAAAAAAATTGCAATAGGGTGATGAGTACATGAGGGTGTCTATACAATTAAATTATTCAGATAAAATTAAAATTATATGTGATTAACAAATGATTCATGAAAAATAAGCAGCAATTCGATTAATGAGTAATTAAACAATTTGTTCAGATTAAGTTACAATATTGAGGCTTTCAGCTTGTGAAAAGTATATAAGAATTTTATGCTTTATTTAACCTAAATTGCTAAAACATAATATTATTCTTCGTTGATTGTAATTAACAATCATAAACAAAATCACCTTTAATTTTCATTTTGGCATAATATATGCCCTAAAACAAATAAACCTTGGGATTTTTCGAGTTGAATCGGATTTTTCAAATATCAAATCAAACTTTATGTTGACTTTTTAAGGTAAAATTGTATATAATAGCAAACTATTAATTCGAATTAAGTTTCGTAACCACATTTTGATTTAATTGTAACCCGTAGCAAACTATTGTCATTCGCCACTCTCCTAAGTTTCTGTCTCCCTACTCTCGTTAGTCTCTCCCTCGCTTTTATACAAACACAAATTATCAATTGTAATTGTGTTTTTATAAAGCGAGAGAAATTGTGTATGTATACATATATCTTTGTTCCCCTCTCTCCCCTCACCCAAATTTCGCTCATCACTCTCACTCGTCTCTCTCACTTTATACAAACGCAATGTATATGCATATTCAAATACATATATTTCCGTTCTATCCACTTATAATTATACAAGTATAGACCTTCATTGTCTAGTTTTCATTTGTCTTTCTCTCTTTATACAAACACAAATTATACGATTGATTATTTTGTATATGTATACCGAAACATATTAAACAATTGTTTCTTTTGTATAGATATAACGAAATATACATATTAATAGTCATAGCAAACATAAAGTTTGTTATGGAGCGTAATTATGCAAACTATAGCAATAACATACAAATATGATTTTTATGTTTGTTCTATGTGAAAGTTTCTCAATTTTTAAATTAAACCAAACTAATAAACTTCGAGGTTTTTTGGGTTTTTGAATTTTTCCGATAAAGTATTCATAGTTCGTACAAACAATAATTAATTGTACTCCAAATATTACTTTAATTCAATCAAAATACAACTATATGAGGTGTTTCTTAAGAAACTAACACAAAATATGAGATGAATGATGATACTAAAATATTCAATAAAAATAATAATAAAATCGTATAAAATAAATATTGTGAATTGATAAGTCATAATGAAAATGATTATAATTTAAAAGTACTTAATCATGCTAAAATAAATCTAATAAGTATTAATTACATGATTAACTATTGAAAATAAATAAATAAATTTAGTTATATATTTTAAATGTTAATATCAAGCTCATAATTTGGGTAGAAGTTGATTGTAGAGTCAACTTACCTTATACTGCTTGAAGAGCCGCTTTAAATTAGAGTTACAGTTGCTTTAAATTATACTATTGTAGTTAGAGTTGAATTAGGGCTTAAATTGTATAGCATCAAATTAGAGTTAGAATTAGAGTTAGAGTTGAATAAGGGCTTAAATTGTTTAGCATCAAATTAGAGTTAGAGTTGGAGTTAAATAACACTTATATAGCATTAGACTTATTATAAAGGAATAGTAATTTTTATAAGAAAAACTATCAGCAACATGGACGGCCGCTCAAAAATTCCCTATTTGCCTGCAGATATTATCAACTCGATCTTATTACAGCTTCCTGTGAAATCTCTTTCACGATTCAAAAGTTGTTGTAAATCATGGCATTGTTGTATCGATGATGCCGACTTCATCAAGTCACATCTACGTAACTCATCTGTTGATATTAGTCGTCAAAAATTTGTCTTGGTTCATTTGAAACCATCTCCAAGTACATACAAATTTGAAATTGTGTCAACGGAAGCATCGATTAATGCTGATTCAAAAGTTGTGTATCTCAATATCCCAGAATTCTTAATTAACTATATTTTTTTACAAGTGTTTTCATGTAGCGGCTTGGTCTTTATGACCTCATACAGTCCTGGCTATAGCATGATATTATTCAATCCTGCACTTGGAAAATACAAACTCATTCCGAATTCTCTTTTCAGTTGAAAGAAAAGAAGTCGTTGTTCGGATACATCTCCAATATTTGGTTTTGCCTATGATTTTGTGGCTGATGATTACAAGGTTATATGTGCATATTACTTGATAAACGTATACTGTAACGTTGTTGAATTATACTCCGTTAAAAATCAATGTTGGAGAACAATTCAAAATACTTTTCCTGTTTCCCCTGATTCTTATTACCAGTACCTACACAGTAATCAAGTTTCACTAAACAGTGTCATTCACAGGATGTCACACAACAGGGAAGTTATATCATTCCATCTAGTAGACGAAAAATTTACTGTAACGGCAGTGCCAAAAGCATGTGGGGAACAGCCAACGTTACATGCATTGGGGGATGGCATGTGCGTTTTCACAACGGTTGGCGAGGAAAGTTTGATTTGGTCGCTGGAGAAAGATAGGTGGAATTGTATCAACAAGTTTCATACTTTACCCTCACTCATTGGAATGCCTATATGGCCAGATGTTAAACCCTACACAGTAGGTCTCTTCCTATTTGTTAAGGAGAATGGGAACATACTGTGGAGAAATCATGATGGTCCTTTTATTGAGTATCATGTGCGGAAAAATGAATATACTGAGTTTCAGTCGATACAAATTCCGCCTTTGGTATCAAGTAAGGCTTTGTACGTGGAAAGCTTAGTTTCTTTGAAGATTCCGTGGGATTGATTAGGTAGCAATATATTGAAGAATATTAATCTTGTCATGGTTTCTGTTTGATTTGTGGATGATGGATTTGAATGTAAAAATATGATGTTGAATTTCTACACCACAAGTCATTTTGTATGACTATCACCATAACGACTCGTGTATATATAGGCTATAGTTAATCCATACTGGGGTGATTAATGTAAAAGCGTCGTCCAATTTCTTCTGTTACCTTTCAGCGGAGAGATTATATAATCTGTCAACAAGAGTAGTTTGTTAACTAATGATGGGAAAGTCTAACAGGGAGCCAATACTAACTCTATGATGATGAATTGATGTTAACCAAGTTGTTGTGTCATTTTTCAGTTCTTTCCCAGAAAACCTTTATTTATGTTATCATGTGATTTGTGATCCTAAATTATGCTTTATACTCTTACAGCAACAGTATGAATTAAAGAGCTTACAAAAGAAGTGTCATACAAGATTGAATCTTTATTTTTTATTTACAAGTTAAACGACTTGATTTTGAAGAAGCCGTGGTAGTTTTTGGTGCAAATTTCGGTTCAAATCCTAGCAGAAATAATACTTGTGTTGGTGGGGAGGTAGTATTTACCTAATAGAATTAGTCATGTAAGATGGTTCGGACTCGGACACCACTGTTATCCCGATGGATTTTTTTTATGTACATCATGGAGTTGGTGATTATAAGTTTGATCACCTCACAAGTCTTCATTTTGTCACCACAACTCATCAAAATTTCCAAACTCCAATTTTCTTTGCATTATTCATTATTGTTAGACTTAGGGTATAAAACGGTGTAGCAGTTTTGGGGAGGGGTGAGTTGAACATAAAGTATAATTTGTAGATGAAAACCGACTTGGAATTTGCCATTACAGTTTCACGCAACTAACTAACTGAGAAACATACTAAAGTAACTAAATTTTCCTAACGCATGAACAAGAAATGTGAGAGAAATCAGAACAAGTTGATGTAACTAACAGAGGGAGTTTCTTGATGAAACAGAGCATTCTTCTTCTTCTTTTGCAGAGGGACTTTCTTGATGAACCTCAGAAACAGAGCATGCTTATTCTTATTCTTTTGCAGAGGAA